TACGGGGCTGATAATGGGAGGAAGGGGGTGGCTGAACGTGAAATAGGGTTTAGAAAAAATGGAAGTGGTGATGGTTAAAAACCATTTTAAAATGCGTACGGAGAAGAACAAAATATATGTAAGAAGATAAAAGAAAATATAATGCATGCTTATAGATAATGTTTATTTTTTTAATATATAAACAATTATATGGAAAAACTATATACATATTGTAATTAAGTGATTTAAATCTAATTGTTTCATCCAAAAATAATTTTACGATATAATATCCTTAAAATGGGAGAAAAAGTCAGGACAGACAGGACAAGAACGTTAAATTATAAATTTAATAAAAAATTAAAAAAAACGTGTTCTGCCTTTCCCTTTTGTCGTTTCTTGTTTCACCAAACTCGACCGACGACTAGATTTGATTTCCTCGCACTGTTTTGGTTGGGCCGGGCCCAATTCCCCTCTTTTTTATTAAAAAGATTTGATTTCCTCGCACTGTTTTGGTTGGGCCGGGCCCAATTCCCCTCTTTTTTATTAAAAAAAAAAAAAAAAAACCTAATTTAATGGGAATAAAATCTCAGGCGAATATATTCAATATTTATTCTGAGGTAGAACTAGCCGTTCTTTATCGAATAGCTCGCACTTTGAACTAAAGCCATAACTTTTTGATATATGTTCTTAGCATCGACCAATGATCAAAAGTATATAGATCCACGTTTCATCTTCTTCATCAATCTCAGCATACTGAGTGGATCATCAAAAGCCAAGCAGACAGCAGAAAGAGAGGCCAATAATTGAATAGAAATCAAGTTGGGTGTTACCAGAAAACCCAAAAAGACAGACCCATATATCAATATCATAAATTTGGAACCATATAATTCCAGAAAAAAGGGAAGAGACATGGAGAAAATTCATGAACAACGCTGATTCCAGTAGGAAACTGGGCGAAGTTGAAATCTTGAGGAGATGATTGAACCAATCTGTTGCCCAAAGTGGGAAGAAGTCGATGTATGTGTTGTCAAACCGATTATACACTACAAACGTGCTGCAAATTAAGTACAACAGTGAAAATATAGAAGTTTCTGCCTGTCTTTTGGCCCATCGACTCATTTTTGTGCAGTATTCTTCCTCATTTTCCATTTTGAATACCTCCCCCCGGACTCCCCTTCACCATCAAAATAAAAAAAAAGAAAAAAGAGAAAGAAGAAAACGCAGCACCATTCTTCTTCACTTCACAGATACAATAGTGTGTTGAAGCTTTGCAATCTTCTACAATTACTTTATCCAGAGAAAATGAGTCAAATGCCTGCATCAATTAATCTTTAAATCAAATTCAGATTGCAGAGGAACAGCTAACACATCATGAGCAATTCATGTTTCCATTTACCAAATCCAAAAAATGCGGACGAATACATAATCAGCAAGGCCAAACTCACTCATCTTCAAGGCACAAACAAGTTTCATCAACCTCTTAAACTAGTAATCCGTCATAGAAATACTGAAGGGAAGTAGCATGACAGAAATTCTCACTTCCCATGACCGATAAAGAAAGTTCAAAATTCTCCCTCTCTCTCTCTCTCTCTCACCCACACTATGTAAAACAGACACTCCTCTATTCAGAGCAAAAAAAATGGTGGGCAGAAAATGGAGGACAGTGCTCAAGGGAATTGATAGTTGCAGGTGAAGCAAACAGGAGGCTAGAATTTAACAGGCTTTTCCACATTTCTGTAATAAACATTACTGGAAAAAAATCATTTCTAGTTGCAACATACCAGTTTAATCCAAAATTCACTTTGCTTACCAGACAAAAGCAGTGTACATTACAATATTTTGTTGGAATTCATGAGATCATTAAACAGAAATTAGAAAAGTTATTTTAATAGAAGTGGGAAACCGCTGAGATCGAACGTTATAAACCAATTTGGAAAAACCACACAACAATGCATTTATGAGGAGAAAGTGAAATATATCAGCTGACCTTGGTTGACGACTAATAATAATTAACCTACAACCATCACATTTTTGTAGTCATCGTGAACTTATTAGCTTTTTTCTCTGCAGGCTTTAGAATCTGGAAAGAGCACATCAAGTTTTCATCGACACTCATCATTGCACCAGCATTATCAAATTCACCGCAATAGTTGGGGGCTGAGAATATTGTGACAAGTTGCCTGTCGGCAAAAAATTCATAACCATCCTCCACAACCTAAATAAAAAAATTGCACCAGAATGAGAACCAATTAGCAATGAGTCACAAGAACAAACTATGACAACAAAAAGGGGAGGGGAAGAAGAAGCAGCAACCACCTGATGAGCACGACATACGAGATCCAGATCGTGCTTGGATAAAAATTCTTCCACCTTATCAGGACCAAAGGTGTAAGAGACTCCTCTATCATTCATCCCCCATCCTTTGACATCTCTACAAGGATCTGACCAAAGCAAATCACATAACAAACCAGTGTCTGGGATAGGTGTTGGCCTGCCTAAGCTTCTTATTTGATCCAAATTTGTAAGATCGGGGGAGAGACCACCATGCATGCACAAAATTTTGTCATCAATAAGAGCAGCCACGGGAAGACAGTTAAAACAATCAGTAAACGCCTTCCAGAGTCTCACATTAAACCGTCGCTTACATTCATCATAAAACCCATATATCCTATTAATTGAAGCACATTCATGATTTCCTCTTAAAAGGAAAAAGTTCTCAGGGAATTTGATCTTATAGGCAAGCAAGAGACATATTGTTTCTAAGCTTTGCTTGCCACGGTCCACATAGTCTCCTAAAAACAGATAATTGGCACTAGGAGGAAAACCTCCATACTCAAAAAGCCTTAGTAAATCACTGTACTGCCCATGAATGTCACCTGAAAATTGGAACAGTACACAAGATTAGAAGACCTAACACCATAACAACGTGATAAGAACATCAAGAAAGACGAAGCTAATATATATACTCATAGCTCAAGGAGCTCGATAGTGAACTTGTATTGAAATCATATCAAACACCATCTTCTGTTAAATACTTCGAATACTCTCTTACAGATTAGACGGTACAGGAATTACAAGCAAGTAAACACTGTAATTGCAATTGAATTTAGGTTTTAAAGGGACTGGTAGTTTGCCATTTCAAAACACCAGTTCTAGTATATTTTTCAGCAGTTAAAACCATCATGGAGTAGATTGTTACATAGAAGACACAAGGTCTGACTGCAGCCCCAATAGTGGAAGTGGCAAGAATTCTTCAGGCTAATTGAAAGAACATTACAACAAGAACAAAGAAAATCAAAGAAGATTTGATAAGGAGAACGCGAAGACTAAGAAAGAAAGCATAATATATATATTTTCCAACGGCCTGTCCTAAATTTGGTAAGTTAAGCCATTCCACAAAGTTCCATCAGAAAATAATAAACACAAATTTCATGTTCTCCTTCTAAAACTGGGATTGAGAGAGAAGTTTTCATTTCAAATATATCTAAAAACTAAAACCGGCACAAGCTTCGAAACAGAGTTAACAAACAAATAGCAAGCTCCCCAGCTCTAAAAACAATAATATGTACGACGACAACGAAGAACAGAAATTTTACCCAAGGAAATAAGAACAGCTAAAACATCACAAAGATACAATTTTTGTACCTATTAAGATTATCAGTTAAACGAAGGAAGAAGAAGAGAGGAATTTTTTGTAGCTAAGCAACAAAAAAGCTCACCGCAAATTTTGATAGGGGCTTCAAGCTCGAGCAAATTGGGCTGCTGGATAAAAATCTCTCTGGAAGCAACACAAAGTTGTTTGATCTCATTCTCAGACAGCTGAACTTGCTTGCCCGGACGAGACGATCGGACTTCGGTGAGCCGTCTAATTATGTCGTCCAGTACAGCGGAGTCAATACTTCCCTGTCCTTGCGAGGCCATTAGGGTTTAAGATTCTCGGATCCTCTTCCTTAAATAAAAGAAAAGAAAAAAAACAAAGTGCAGAAAAACCCTAGCAATCGAAGAACCCCAAAACCAGCAAGAACTTGAAACGCCTTTCTAATTTTTCCTTCTTTGTATTTTCTTTCTTGGTCGCCTCTTTGCGATTTCTATCTTTCTATAATTTCCTCAAACAAACAAATAAATGAATAAATAAATAAAAGTATTTTCTCGGAAAGCGAGAGATTAAAATAATATATTTTATTTTTGTCCAATGTTATTATTATTAAAATAATATCTACCTCCGATGTGGTGGTGGAGCGGCACAGGACACAGCTGCCGTCTATTAGCGGTCTCTTCTAATTTAAACTATTTTTATTAAATTTTATTACAGAAATTATTTTTATTTTCATTTTCATTTTTATACGGTTTCTTGTCTAAGTGTCAACCCTTTGAACATGACTTACAAGTTAAAAAAAAAATTAATTGAGAATATATAATGAAAAATATTTTTTTAAAAATAAAGACAAAAAGAATTAAAAAGAATGATGATGATGATGATGATAATAATAATAATAATAATAATAATAATAATAATAATAGAAGAAGCTGCAACCTGGATCAAAAATCTCTCATTTTCCACAGAAACAAACAGAAGAAGTTCAGATAGAAACTGAAGAGCAGCAGTCTGAGTTACTTTTCCATCTATAAAAGAAAAGGGTACCTCTCTATTCATCTTGCCTGATACAACAAAAACTCTTTTACTGATTTTTTTTTTTTTTTTTTCCCCAAAATGGTCGTCACAAGATCAATTAGAGCAACAACTTCTCTTGTTGTAGTTGCCTGAGATATTAGCGACGTTGATGGTGGTGCCGTGAGGGAGGCCGGGGGTGGAAGCGGCCTCCTGAGCGGCCAAAGCTTTTTTGCTAATGATGTGGTAAATGTCGAGCAAAATGGTCTGGAAAGCCTTCTCGACGTTCAAGGCCTCCAAGGCTGAGGTCTCGAGAAATGACAGCCCTTCTTTCTCTGCTAAAACCTGAGCATCTTCGGCCGAAACTGCCCGGAGATGGTTCAGATCGGCCTTGTTTCCGGCCATCATGATCACGATGTTGGAATCAGCATGGTCTCTCAGTTCGCGTAGCCATCTTTGGACATTGTCAAAGGTTTGTCTCTTGGTAATATCATATACCAAAAGTGCACCCACTGCTCCTCTGTAATAAGCACTCGTAATGGCTCGGTATCTCTCTTGCCCTGCTGTGTCCCATATTTGGGCCTTCACTGTCTTCCCCTCTACCTGTTTCAAACCAATTCTAAACAATCATCTAATTGAATACAGACTCCATTTCTTTTCAATTTCAAAAAATATGAAAACAAATCATTCGACTTCCTCCATTGTTCATGTCCACCCTACACCTGATTTCTGTATTCAAATTTAAACTCTCTAGGTTTAAATCCAGGCAACAAAAATGTGCGTTAACATCCATCGTTCAGATTCGAACTTGTAAATGAGGAGAAAATCTTCAATCCAGGCTAGTTAATACAATTATGACAGCGTTCTTTGATTTATTCGAGTTCGTCAAACTTCTCGAGTTGTTAATTAAGTAAGGATGAAGGATAGGAAGTAATTGATTGATCTATGAGGAGGACAACACAGTTAATATACTAACATGGATATGACTTTGATTTGAGTGGGAAAAAAGGAATAGAAAATGGCGGAAGCGTAGCCAACCTGCAAAGTCCGCGTAGCGAATTCAACTCCGATTGTTGACTTGGATTCCAAACAGAACTCGTTCCGCGTAAACCTGGAGAGAATATTGGACTTTCCAACGCCAGAATCACCGATCAACACAATCTTGAAGAGATAATCGTATTCGTGATCCACCTTGTAAGCCATTTGATGAAACTCCTAATCAAATTCCGAGGCTAACACCTGCCAGATCCAACAACAAACGATTCAGAAGAAATAAACGCATTAGCAATCGCATTTTCTGAGCATAACGCCTTGGAGAATTGGTTTGATTGTGGAGAAATGGTTAGGGTTGAAGACGATAAAAGAGAAGAAAAACAAAAAAATAAAAATGGAATGAAGAACTAACCATAAAGAAAAAATGGTGAATAGATAGATAGGGAAGGGAGAGTGGTAATTGGATTAGGAATTTTTTGAAATTTCTTGCAAATTTTATTAGCGAGTTTTAAGGAAAATGGCGAAAAACAAAACCAGGGATTTTACTCAATCAATGAAAACAAAACCGTATAACGGAGGGAAAGGCACTGAAGCCGGCCCTTCCTGTGGCTCACACTTGAATATCACTATTTAAAATAATCGGTCTTCATACCAACGACATGACGTTCTTCAAAATGGACAAAATACTAACCTCACCCTTCAACGACGAGTCGGATTGAAACCTTGAAAGAGATAATAATAAAAAATAACTCGCGCCGTTGCCGGGGATCGAACCCAGGTCACCCGCGTGACAGGCGGGAATACTTACCACTATACTACAACGACTTATTGACCTTTGTTACTACAAAATTTATTAGATTTAATATTATAGATTTTAAGATTATTTTCCTAATCGAGAGAAAACTATTAAATAATAAAAATATAATATAAAACAAATGTTATATTATATTTTTTGTGAGCTGAAGAACAGAGCTCTCTATATTGGTGAAGAACAAATGATAGCAATTCTAGAAAACCACGTTTTATCTGTTGGTTGGCTATTTGGTCGTGTCAGCGAGTAATTTGCTGCAGTTTATGACATTTTGATCTGCAGAAGAGCTCTTTCTCTGTTCTGAACTTTCATTAACAACAATCTTCTGAATTGAAGCAGGCCCTTCAATTGAATTTGAGCAAGTTTTCGCTTTCGTCTCGACACCGAGATAGTTCGTCAAGGCTCTTTTTACTCCGAACCCACGCCGAGGAGGCTTGCTATTATTGTTGTTGAGGAATGACGCTCTCTCAGTCTTGGCAGGACTAACCATTGGAGCTGGCGAAAAGCTTGGAGTAGTGGATGTGAGTTTGTATGGAGTGCTTGAGAAATGCACCGAGTAAGCAGCCTTCTTGTGACCGACTACGTTAACCGTGGCGACCGATGTCAGCCTACCCGAATGCTTAGTTAAGTCGTCCACGTAAAGCAAATCGTCGATTCGAGCAATGATGTTGTATGCTATACTCTCTAGAACCCTTGAGTAGCTTTCAAGAATGGACTTTCCAACATCCTGAAAACTTGGAGATTAGAAATGGATCATAAATGAGAAAGTGGAAGAATGAATGTTGTTGTTACCTTGTTGAATTGGATCTTGCTAGTGTCTAAAGTAGTTTGTGTTAGAGTAGGAAACCGCTGCTTCAAAGAATGCAAGAACCCCTCAGCTCTTTCTGCTAAAAACTCTCTTTTGTCACCATCAATCATTAGGTCCTTCACCATCTCCCAAGATGATCTTGCCGAAGAACGAGTTGGATTGAGTTGGGGTTTCGAATGAGCTCGACGTCGCCAAACGTAGATAGCAGCCTCCACACGGTTGGCAACGTCAAGAGCGACATGATCCGAGGATAAGTCGAGGCAGTCAAGCAAGTACTCAGACGAAAAATGCTCCGACGTAATGTACCGATATATAACATCTCCTAGACAGGCTCTCCCATTCTGAAAACAAAAGCTTTAGGATCATGCAATTCTTGAAAGTAAGCTGTTTTACACAATGGCATCCAAACCTTAGGAAGAGTCTCCAAGTAAGATTCAGGAACCTCCATGTCATTCAAAGCAATGTTGTTAATGGCCGTTACAGCTTTCAATATTTGGCTAGTACAATCTCTAGTATGATGCAATTGCTTCCTTGAATCTACACCAAGACCGCCCACCGGGACTCGGGGCACTGGAAGCCACCACTTCTCCTGCTGCCTCTGAACTATCTTCCGAAACGAAGACGATCCATCGCCATCGGAAGATACAATGCCTTGATCGACATACCAAAACTCGGTGTCCGTAAAACTCTCTAGAATTTCCTATAAACAATGCCAAGGTTATCCTAAATGGGAATTGAATAGCATAATGTGCAGCAAAAACAAGGCCAATCTTACAAGCAGCATATTGTCCAGTTTTCTGAGAGCTGGAAGGTTGATGAAGATATCAGATCTTGGCCTGGACGTCATAACCTACAGAAGAAACAGTGAATATCATTCGCACCAAGCCAACAGAAACTCATGATACCAATGAACCAATGTGAGATCTCGCGTCGGTTGGCGAGGAGAACGTGTAAACCTCTCCCTAATAAACGACTTTTAAAACCTTGAGGGAAAACCCAAAAGGAAAAGTTTAAAGAGGACAACATCTACACGCGGTGAACTTGGGCTCTTACAAATGATATTAGAGTCAGACACAGAACAGTGTGCCAACAAAGACGCTAGCCCTCAAGGGTGGTGGATTATAAGATCCCACGTTGGTTGGAGAGGATAACAAAACTTTCCTTATTAGAGTGAGGACATCTCTCACTAATAAACGCATTTTAAAATCTTGAGGGAAACCTAAAGAGTACAATATCTACGGGCGGTGCGCTTGGACCGTTTCAACCAAACAAGTAGAAAAATTACCTCCAGTTTGGTTCCATCAGGGAATGTTTGGAAAGAGGGGATTAATTCAACTATGTGGCCACTGACACAGAGAAGCCACTCCATTTCTCTTCTCCACATTGATTTCTTCTGAGTTGGCAAGGGTTCAAGTCTCCAAAGTTGCCCAAAAATGGTGGCTTCAAGTTGCACAAACAACAGAATAAATACCCATGTAAACAGGAAGAACACAAAATTTCATAAATGAAAGCAAGAGAGAGCTTACCACAGAGATTGGTAATGGAATTTGAGATGGCCAAAGCAGTGGAAACCCCTTTTCCAGAACCTGACATGTCTTCTCCAAGCAACAGTTTTGCAAACCTCTCCTTCATCATCTCCATCTCTGTTCAAAAATTTAAACAAAAACCCCATCAAAACATACCAAGGAATGATTTCGCTGAGTCCACAAGAAAGATGATCGAATCAAACTAACCCGAAACTTTAGGGACCGTTTTGTTCAGCTTCGAACTATTGGAATTGGGGTTTTGTTCTCTGGAGTTGGAAGCTTTGGAAGGCTGAGCCTTGCGAATCGGCCAGCCGAGTTGGGGCGGTGAAGAACACTCCACAGCCTTCAAGTCGTCGGCGGAACTGTCGGAGCTGGACCTGCTTGAGCTGCTCTCCCCAGATACAGCACTGGACTCTGTGAACGACTCTGTTCCAGCTCCATTAGAACCAAATTTTCGAGCTTTTTCCATTTTTGAAGCTCAAAAGGCAAAGAAAATAGAGATGGAAGAAGATGATCAAGAGAATTGGTGAAGTGGGTCTGAAAAAGACTTCATTTTTTCACTGTTTCTTGCTTCACTTGTATCAGAAAGATGAGGAGAGAAGATTTTGATTTCAAATTTGTAGCTCACTCACTTTCCCCAAATTTGATTTTAAAGGTAAGTGCCAGAGTGGCACAGAACAGGCCAAGGTTTAAAAGAAATTGCTGCAATCTTAGCGTCGATGTCAACTCCCCTTCGAATTTTGAATCCGGTTTCACCTGCCCCCTCTGATCCAAACTTCAAATTTGAAGAACTTCTGATGCTGTTTGTACTTTAAAATAATTTAAATTAAATTTACAAGTTTAATAATGGAATTTCTTTTCAGATTATTTAATAGGTGAACAAATTTTAAAGATGTTCAAGATATTACTTTCATCAAAAAGTAAAAAAGAACTAAAGTTAGCTTTATTTTGAAATGTAACTAACGGTACAGTGACTTTATGTTATACCGTTGTACCGACGTCTTCATTGTTTTAGATTTGTAGGGTTCGAAAAATTATGACTTTCATTTGAAAGCCTAGTCTCCCATCATACTACAATTCTAAAGTTTCTTCTCGGTGACTAATAAGTTGAAGCATATACTTTTTAATTTGAAAGGAGAGTATGTTATGAATCACGGACCTCCACGATAGTATGATATTATTCACTTTGAGCATAACCTCTCTCGTGGTCTCACTTTTGGTTTTTCCAAAATATCTTATGGAAATGGTGTTCCTTGTTTAAAAAATTAATGATCGTTTCCCTAACGTTGTTTCTAACCCACAGTGATATTTTTCTGTTTGGGCTTCCCCACAAAGTTTCAAAACGCGTCTATTAAGAATATTTCGTTTTCTACTCCAACTGATGTAGAATCTCACATTATTCAACTTGGGAAAGTTTAATCTCGAGTTTCGCGCTTTTTGGACTAAAAAAAAATAAAGTCTATGCATAAGTTTATGTCGATTTCCCAGCCAAAAAAAGGAGGTGTAGATCCACACTAACGCCTGGTTTGGATGTCCGATACAAATTTGTAGCCGTTTGAGATGGGAAATCCTTGACTTTTGTGGCTACCTTTTCCCTCCATTTGCATTTCAATTTTGCTTTACCCCATACCTTCAGCTTTGAGCTTAGAATGGCGTTTCTAAAATATAAAAAAAAAAAAAACCCATCCCAAAAATTCTCTCTTTTTTTAAGGTATGTACTCAATGTTACGGTATCTCTATAATTAAATTTATGTTACGTTATAAATTTTATATTTATAACAATTCTTATGTAGCCATAGTTTGAGAAAACTTTGTAAAGAATTAGAAACTATTTGCACACTAGACAATCTTAAATAAAGTGCCAAAAATCTGGTGTTTTTACATATTCTCTGACATGTGGGTTGATAAAAACCATGTTGGATATGAAACGAGTTCGAGTTGAGTCTCAAGTCCATAGGCTTAGATGGTAGATGAGGGTTGGGTTGGGTCCGGTCTTTGAGTGGACTTATTAGGAATGTATAGGAATTGAGTTGAGTTGGAAAAATCTTTTAGATCAATATAAAATTTTAAGTTGGTAGGGCCGGTGACAAAAATAACCCTCACAGCCCAATCCAACCCACCACTTTGATTATGGGTTGGACTAAGATGGTTTGTGAATTTTTTTTTTAATTTTAAAAATTATACTTATCTACTATACACTCTATTTTCGGATTGATCGAGTTGACTTGAAAAAAACTATGTCTAACTGGAGAACCGTCCCAAATTTTCAATTTTAAAAAAAAAATCAACCGAACCTAAGTAAAAAATATGTCAAGTGGTATAAATTTTAGGGTGATTAGTGTTTAAATTATAACAAAAATTTTAAATTATGATTAATATTATAATTATAACAAAAATGTTTACATAAGATGAGTAAATTCTAAAATTTTAGATTACAAATTTCATGTTTCCAATCTCCATCCCGTCGCAGCTCGCGGCTCGCAGCCACAGCGAAAGCGCTATTTGCTTCTCTGCTCTCCGATCTTCCTACAGGTATACACATACCAATTCATTTCATTCTCTTCTCTGATTTTCATCTCTACACCGGAAATAATTTCAAATCCATTGGGATTTTGAGATCCTTCCAATTCTAGGGCTTCCAAACAGAGGGTTTAAGGATTTTTGCCTTTCTTTAGCATTAATTTCTTGGTGAATGGTTTAATGTAAGTTTCTGTGCGTCTCCCACGTTCATTTCTTGTCTCTGCTTGTTGCTACGACGTTATTTATGTTGGTTTTTTAGCGTAATTTGAGGAGAAAGAAGGGATTACAACATCGTGCAGAGTTCATAGAAAGAAATTGAAGTAACTACTGTAAATGTCTGGTATGGTGACATCGAAACCTCGTGAGTTTCAAGGCCGCTGAGTACCACATTCATTGTGTGGCTTAGACCACTCTTGCTAACTTAGAGATTGATGCATATAAACATCTTCTCGAGGAGTTCCTTAAAGAAAAACCTTAAACAATACCTAATTGGCAAACCGCCCAATTAAAGAGGCGCCCACAGCCAAATTATCATGTCTCTTCAATAGGTTAAATAAGCTTTACAATGAGCTTATAATTAGGTTGAGGATCTGGTTTTCTGCAATGCAAGTACTGTATTCAATGACTTGGGATCAGAAAATTGAATGCCCGTCCATAGGATTAGGATGTGGAGCACAGGCCATCCATTTGAGCAGGTGAATGTCTTTCCGATGGCAGTGCAGAACCTTGTGCAGCATGGTTTGAATGACTCCAAGTCTTTTGGAATGCTACAGAAGTTTGGAGCTTATAGTTAATGTTAGTTAATTGCTGTAGTTTTTGCATTATAACAAGATGGATTTGTTGCAATTCTCTTGGTGTTTGTTTCATTTAAGCTTCACAAGCAAGTTCGTGTGATGCTAGAATGTCCTGCCCTTAATCCTCCGTTCCAACATTCCTTACACAAACCCCCTTATCTTGTATGATCAAAAGCACAGCAGTCAGCAGACAAGAACATTGTCAGTACAAAGGATTCCCCAGACAAGAACAATGTCAATGGGAGCTGGGAATTGGACACTACTACTAGAGGCTTGTCTGGTTCAATGAAGATAGGTTTGTTGCTCCTCGAGGATTGAGCTTCTCTGGAATCTCAGGAGGCAGAACAAAGTCATTCAAGGGGCTGCTGATTGGCCTTATCTACGCAGCTCAATATTCAAGACTTCCTCTCTTGAGAATATCTACCCTATTATTCTTAGTTTTCTCTAGATGATGCTCAACTTAGACACGTTGAGGCGTCCAAGTCATTGAACTGTAGAAGTCAAAATAGCGGTGAAATTACTTTCTTACAAGTGATTTGATTTATCGATAGGGGCCCTCCCATACTATAGGAAGTTGTTTCTTGGAATGTCTTCGTCCAAGCACAAGTTGACCATTGATTCAATCAATCTTCACTAAAAAATCAAAGGGACTCACCTAGCACGAACTTAGTTGTTTGTGTCCACAAATTTTAGTATTTTTATATGAAAATTAAATTATATAAAAAATTAGAGTTAAGCATGTGTGTGAATTTTTTAAAATTTTATTGATTTATTTATTTATACTATAACATATCTCAATATAGATAGATATAAATCAATTTAATATATTCTGTATTATTTTTTAAGTATATATAAAAAATTATCATAAGTTAGTAGGTTTTTGTTTCTATATTTTTGTCGAGAGCGACGGCAGCATTCGATTTTTGTGCTTTGCTTTTTGGCGGGAGTTTTATTTTTCTATTTTCTATTTATTTTTTTACTTAAAATCAATCCCAGTCTTGGCCCCACCACCACAGGCCACTAATGCATCTCCCACGCGCTCTTTCCTTCCCTGGCTTACACTCTCCAGTTCCTCACCCCCTCCATAGATTGTCCGGTTTCGCGCGTTTCAATCACGCGTCAACGAGAGCATGTGGTCGTTTGTTTTAATAAAATCCCTGATGTTGACCGGTCTTTGTATCTTTTTTTCTAATCTCTGTTGTAGCCACAACCATACACAGCGATCCACTATTTTTCCCCCCATTAAACTCTGACGTATATATTTTCGTTAAATTAAAAACTTAAATCTTTTAGAGAAGAAGCTACTAAAGTGTCCATTAATGGTGAAGTTTATAGGGATATGTGTGGCACTGTGTAAATTTTAAAATGAGTATACAAAAATTCAAATTACAGCCTTTCCTCCGAGATTTTATTTTTATAATTTTTGAGTCTTAACATTTTTATTAATATAATAAAATGTCGTGTGTGTGTATATATATAATTTATATTATTGGTTATTACTGGGGTCGTTGTCGATGTCCTACTACTACCGGAGCCCGTGTCCTTTTGGGCAGGTAAACCTGTTAAGTCCCCACCCTCCACATTCAAAATTTTATTTTGAAACCAAATTTGGCGGGAATTTGATCAAATCCAGCGGATACTCCTTTTGGGGTCCGCTACTTTATCCACACCCCAACAAGAAAAATAAAAAATACAATAAAAAGAAAAAAGGAAGGCCGTATCCGTTAAAAGAGAGGGGGACGGGGAGAATAGGGGTGGCAGTTAAAGTGGTGAATGTGTATTGGTGCCACGTCAGAGATTCAGATTGTACATACCGATTAAGGCTGGGGATTGTGTTTGGTTACCCTTTGTGGCACCCATCTTGTGTGCCACCCACAGATTTTATAGGCGCCACTTCACTCTACGCTTGCCCTGGTCCCACATCTTTGAAAATAAAAATACGTTTTTGTTTTCATTCTAATATTAGATGCAGCAGTTTCTTTTTTTAAAATTATTTTGAAAAATAAATAAATAACTAATGGGGAAATTGAAAAAAAGGAGGTTAAAAGGGATAGAAAATGGTAAATTTGGAAAGCGCGCAGTTAAAAAAAGATTTAGGACATAAGGGAAACCTTGTTCTGTTTGTGTCTCAGTTTTGAAGTTTGAATTTGTCAAGTGTTCCCCCAAATCCAAATTTGAAGCGTTGTTTCTACTTCCTAAACATTCCCTCTCTTCCTTTCATCCCTTCCTTTGTAGCCTCACTCTCTCTTCCCCTCCTTATTTAATCCTCCTCTCCCACCCTCTTCCTTTCCCCAACTTCCTCTGCCCTCCATTCCCACCTCTCCCATGGCGCCCACTTCCCTTGAGCCCTCTCTTTTCACCTTCCCCACTGAGTTCCCCTACGAGTCTGACTCCTTTGCCTCCTTCTCTGACCTCAACTCCCCCTTGGAATCGGCTGTTAGCTCCACCGACTCCACCGATAGCAGCGGCAGCGACGACGATGATTTCTTTGAGGGCTTGGCTCACCAGTTTGCATGGACCTCCCTCTCTGAAACTGACAAATCCACATCTCCCTCCTCCAAAGCTAACAATTTTGAGGTACCCTTTAATGAGATCTTCGTTTCTACCTATCTTTTGGGTGTTTCGATTTGTTCCTGATTTCACTTTTTTTTTCATGGGGTTTAGAAGAAGTATGTCAAAACTGGCTCTCCTCAGTCGACTTTGAGCGGAATAGACACATGGTTACGCTCTGAAACTCCTTCTCAGGTGCAATCGCCTCCCTTGGCGGTTTCTGGGGCTGTGAATGATGCTAGAGCCCTTGTACATGCTGCTGCTGCCATAGAGGCTACTAGGTTGAAGATGAGCCGCGGAACAACTCTGTTTCACTCTAATGTCCCTTTTGCAAGGGGATTTGTGGGTGCTCGATCTTCTGTTCCTGTTGAATCTGTAAATGAAATGGGTTATGGGCTGTTCTTGAATCGTAACTGTGACCGGAATTTGGCATTTGCGGCGCAGGTAAATTGTTACCAATGTTCTAAACCCAGCGTTTTAACACTTGTGTTCTCTTTTTTTCATTATGGGTCGTCTTACATTTCTGAGATATTTAACTCTCCTGTTCTACAGGCGCAGCAAGTGAAGCGGGATCTGGTGTTGCAAGCTCTTAGTGCCTCTTCTTGGGGAAGACAAGCTAAGGTCGGCTGGTCGGCTCAGCCACACTGGAAGCCAGAGTTTCAGAACAGAGAGGGAACTTTTGTTGATGTAAGGGGCCGGTGCAGTGGGGGCAGCGGCGATTTCTACCATTCCCCATGGCTTTCGCCACCCCGACATCAGCAGCCAACGCCCAACGCCTCCGCCGCCACGCGTTGCATTCATCCCGGCAGATCTGGCGTGAAAAGGGCTTCCTCCGGAACCGGCGTTTTCTTGCCTCGCAGATATGTGAACCCTTCAGAATCCTTTCAGAAAAAAGGTATCTCACAACCTCCCTTCGTCTTAACAATCACATGGGTTTCTTTTGTTTTTAACTCCATTGTCTATTCAGGAAGCCCAGCCGTTCGATTTCCAGAGATGAGATGCCCCATTCAAGCCCCACTAAACGGTTTCCTATCGCCAGGCTTCAGTAAGCAAAAAATTCCCCTAATTTTCACTACATGGCTTAAATTCAAACTCGTTCTAATGGGGTTCTTACAAATTACAGATTCCATTTCATCCCGGAGAAACAAGCCGGTTCTGCCACTGCCAAGGAGTTTCCGGGGAGAGGTAGCCATAAATCAAGAGCAACTTCACCTACCTCAGGAATGGACATACTGATGTTGGCGAAGCAGACAAAGAGTAAAGAAGATGAAATTGTTTTGTAGGGTTTAGGGATAAAGAAAGATTGAAAAGGAAGGATTTTTGGTAGTAGGAGGAAGCAATAAGTCTGTAATTCTGTGGGTTATAGTGTGATTTTAGATTAAAAGTTTTGTTTTGAGAGAGGGGAAAACATGTATAACCCTTTATACACTACTCTGTCTTGTATTAATGTCGAAGCGATTAAGGAAATGGTTTAATAAATAATAAGAGACATATGTTGGTTTTTGTTACATTAATTGCATCAATGTGTAATTTTTCAATAATAGATTCTATTATTAAACTTTATTTCAAATTTAAAATCGAAATAATGTTGGCAGTTTTTAGTTGTTTGATTGACAAATTGAGTGGCGGGACATTTAATTCAAAATCGTCGTTTAAATAATTGTCGTCCACAACACACATCATTAAAATGACGACCGAATTTCATAAATTTTAATTTTTTTCCATCGGAAATGTGGGAAGGGTCCCACACAATACAAATGTGGGCCCCTTTTTATTTATTTATTTTTTTCTTTTGTAGTGCTGTTTTATTTTTTAGACCTCCGATTTGCTTCTATTGACTTGGTCAAACGCTGTTTCCCCCATTTTATTATTATATATATATATATATATATATATATATTGTGTGTCAGATTTTTGAATTTTGAATCCGGTGTGTCGGTGCCACACATGCTGCTGACTAGACATGTTCATAGGTCTTGCTTTCCTGTCTCTATCCCCGTCACCGAATTATTTTCTTAATTTTCTATTTTCTTTTACAAAATTAAAAGAATATCATATACATATAATTATGGAACTTTAAGAAATTGGCCCATTGGACACTACAAATACACGTGATACCAAACCAAAGCAGAAGCAGTAAGGGTGAGAAATGAACGGCGGCTCCAATATGCAGCTCATCCTGTTTCCTCTGCCGTACGAAGGCCACATGAACCCCATGCTTCACCTCGCCCAGATCCTCCATTCCAAGGGCTTCTCCATCACAATCATACACATACAGCATATCAACTCTCCCCACCCTTCAGACTACCCCAGCTTCACATTCCGCTCCATTCCCCACGGCCTCTCCGGCAGCGATGTCACCAGCAGAGGCGTGGTAGAGATCATAACTTTGGTGAACGACGGTCGGTGTGTTGAGCCCTTACGGAAGTGCGTGGCGGAGTTGGTAGCGGCAAGCAACATCGGGTGCCTGATCACGGATGCTCATTGGCACTTCACTCAGAGCGTGGCTGATGAGTTTCAGATTCGGAGAGTGGTTCTGAGGACTGGGAATATCTCTGCATTTTTGGCAATGGTTGGTCTTCCTGATCTTCGTCGAAACGGCCTCTTGCGTTCTTCGGAAGATCCATTACCCGATTTCCCACACCTCAGAGTGAAAGATCTGCCGGCGGTGAAAGCCCAATCTCCGCTTCTTATTGAACAACTCTTATCTTCCATTTTGATTCAAACCAAAGCCTCCTCAGCCCTCATCTTCAACTCCTTCAATGACCTCGAACACGAGCCCCTTCTCAGATGCCGTCAACTCTTCTCCCCTAACCCAATTTTCCCACTCGGACCTTTTCACAAACAGCTTCCACTCACACAAACTTCCCTTCCTCCTCAACCCCCTCACTCCTCTCTCTCTTGGCTCAACACAAAGCCCCGCAAATCAGTCCTGTACGTCAGCTTCGGCACCCTCGCCACCATCGACCCACATGAGTTCGTTGAGATCGCGTGGGGCCTGGCGAACTCTAGTTACTGCTTCTTCTTGTGGG